CAGCAGCACGTAGATCCCATATGTCCCACGGTGGGCACAAGTCCGTACCAGGTGGGCATACCGTAGTGCGTCTTATAAATATTTCCTCTTCATTATCCTGGGACGAATCATCTCTGGGGTAGGTCTCAGCTAGGAACATCTTTGCAGTCTCTTCCAGAGTGGTTGCCTGGGAACATCCGCGCCTCAAAGCTGCAATCACTTGCTGTGGAGCAAACTTACCAAGGGCCACTCTGTAAGGTACACCCCAGGGATTCTTAGATGACTCTTGAACAATGAATTCGTCCCAAGACTTCCGCTTTCTTAACCGCACCTCGTTTCGGTATGCCCTGGCTTTAGACTTGTACTCATCACGAAGTGTAATGCGCCTCTCTTCGCAAGTACACTTCTGGTATGAACGCCGTGCCTTGTAGAGTTCTCTCTTCATAGTGGTTAAGGCAGGCGTCCACCATGGGACAGGTCGAGCTCTCGCCTTCCGGTGCTGAAGGGATTCTTCAGCGGTATCGCGGATGACATCAGTGATCCTGGATACTCGGTAATCCAGATCATCTGTTTGCTCCGTTTCCGCCTCATCCCAGTCTTCGTCGACCAGTTTTCCCTCCAGCAATGACCGGAAGGCACTCCAATTTCCTTTTCGAGTAAGGTAACCTTTTTCTATTCCGAGGGAAACTTCTGTATTTTCCGTCAGCCTAAAGGCTATCGCTTGGTGGTCGGAACTCGTCTCAGATCGGAGGACCCAATCGATAATGCGGTTTGCCAGCACCGGTGATACCAAGGTAACATCAATCCAGCTCTGCCCCCTAGCGCTAGAGAACGTCGGGGTAGCAGAGGGATCGTTCATAACCACTAGATGGTTTCGGGCAATAAATTCACCGAGCTTAGCGCCCCTTCTATTAGTTCGATTAGATCCCCAGACCGTGTTCCAGGAGTTGGTATCTGAGCATATGATCACGTTCCTGGTGCAAGCCGTGATCATCTCCATGGCGGATATGTCTTCGTCAATATCGCCCCCGTCCGGTAAATATGATGAGACCAGCGTAAAGGCAACATGGTTCCATCTGATATGACAAGCAACACAATCCGCCATGGTAAACTGCCTCAGATCCATCACATCGAGGTTGGGGTTGTTAACCACAATAGCAGCCCTGGGCCTCCTCTCTCCACTGCTCAAGGCTATAACCCTCGATGTGAGACCAAACCCCGTGACCTTGTTTCCCCAGCAACTCGGTTCCTGGACTGCCATGATGTCGTAGCTTTGTGAGAGGGAGCGTAGCTCTTCCGCAACTAGACGCCGGCGGCCCATATTGAGCTGAAGGATGGAGATCTTATTCATAAGAAGTCCTCATCGCCATTTTTTGTGACCAATTTAAATGCACAGGACAATCACGACTGCCCGCCTTATGCTTAGTGTGTCTCGGATGGGCCTTTGCCCTCACACAGTTGATGCATGTCGGCCCTGCCTGAGCTAGTTTTTTGGGGCACTCCTTGAGAAAATGACCAGTACCTGCACACCAGATGCAGACCAGTGCATCTGTTGGACATGTGGCCTTAGAGTGCCCGTAGTCCTGACACTTGGTACAACGGGGGGCGTCGAGGTTATCTTCAAAGGTCATTGACCACCATCCTCCATTCAAGCTTGCCATGTCTAATAGATGGAATCGTAGGGTTGGGTGCACTTCCAGCACCCAGTTTTTAGTTATTCCATTCCTTGCTGTAGATGAGAAAACAGGCCGAAGTCCATCGTTCACGAGCGAAGCTGGGATCGATTTATCAATTAGCTTTGCCCGTAAAAGCGTAATTAATGCCTCCGCAGTCCACGAATTGGGCACACCTTTAATTTCAAGCCTAGGTCGTTTCTTAAGTGCAAGCTTGGCCTCTAGTCCTACTTCTCGTAGACCGTGCCACCCAATAACTTTCGCCGCTTGGGAGCTATCTTCCATCCGAACTAAGACCGAGCCTCCCTTAGTAGCACGTACTATGGAGGCATTAACTCCTATTTCAGTAGGAGATGGCAGCCCATTGATGATTTCCACGGGACTTTTACCGGGCCCACTAATTGTGACGTAGGTGGGTTTAGAGTTAGATATCTCTGCCGGCTTCAATGGCAGAGATTTTACAATATCTGCCATTGTCCGTGGCTTACTTTGTAATTGGGCTGAATCTTCAGGAGAGACATGACTGGTCGGCTCAATCAGGTTATTTAAATTACTAGCTGCCTTGTTAGCTGCTTTGGTCCTCCTGCGGCTTCTTTTACTGACTACGACTTTGTAGGGTTCAGTAGCCGCTGAGGGTCCAGCCGGGCTTGCTTCTCTGATATCTGCTTGCGCTTCACTTGAGTGACCGGCTTTGGCTAAGATTTGTGGTTGTGGTTCCACTCGAGCTGCCGTTAGTCCCTCAATAATTTTGGGCACCGTTTTTTCTATTACAAGTCGAGCAATCATCTCATGAATACTAGGAGTCTTAAGTGACTCATGAACCGCTTTTTGGATGAGCTCAGAAACGTCTTCATTTGTGTGTGCCTTTTTACTTTTGTCGTCTAGGGTTTCAATTATATCTATCAAGGTTAGAATTTTTCTATTTATATAATTTTGTACCTTGATATTCAACCCATTATCTGCCCGTTGAACATAAACCCTAAGATTCTCCTGGATTTGTAAGGCCGATTGTAGTAAACTTTTAGCTGCAGCCTCCTCCGAGTTTGCCTCCAAATCAAGAGAACCCTTTCTTGCCCGTTTGGCATTTCGCTTGGAAACCTTTTGGGAACTCTCCTCTTCCATATCAATAACAATTGGGTCAACCATACTGTAAGAAACTAGTAAACACTACAAATGATTTCAGTTTATAGTACACTACAGTTTAGAGGTTAACTAACTACGTTTATTAAATGAAAGTTACCTTTCTATTTATGTCCAATGAAACTTGTATACAAGTTCTCTGTTATAAGTTTTAGCTCTCGTAGGAACGATTAAAGTCCAGAAAGTCTTCAACTACGAGAAGATTACGAACTCGTAGTTCCACTTAACCTTACTTAAAACTAAAAACTTATTTACAAAAGAAAACTCAAAAAAAAGAACAAGAAAACATAATGAACAGTAAATTGGAAAACACTAGAACACGAACAATAACAAAATAAGTATATATACACCAGTCACAAGTCTAAACACAATACTTTGGAGAACCAATACGTTATCACCAATCACTATCACAATAACCAAGTATATACCAATTCCTCCACTTTCCAACAGTTGACCAACAAATAACGACCCATCATCAACGATTTTACACAAATTTAAATGGACATAATCAGAGACATGGCCACAGCTGACATACCCCAGAACATGAGGAGGAGACTAAAAGGCGTTGGATGAGAGATCTCCTTCCTTAGACAACCTAAGTAATTGGAACAAGTTAGGGAAGAGGTACTGCTGAGTACTTTCCTTTCCCATGCCTGTCATGTCATTATTTCATGTATCGCCATCACATTTGCTGATTGTCAACTTATTGTTGACGCAATACATATTTTATAGACCAAAAAAAAATATATATTGCTACTTATTCTTTATTTTAATATAATTTCATTTTTTGTTCAGCATCCTTTATTTTTAATTAAGTTTAATTTGAGTGGTTCCAAACTGAAAAAAAGAGCTTGGTCTGCGTTTAAATAAGCGCTTCAACAATTTTCGGGCAACAAAATAGCTAAAAATTAGAAGACATTGTTAAATAATTGTTTTTATGATATCGTCGGCAGCATGTTAAAGTAACAAATATGCAACGTTAAACAGGCTCACATTCGTACGTTAAAATGCTGCCCACGATATAAGGCATAAAGTTACATACGTGTCATTAAGAATTCATTTTTTGCAACCTCATTTGGATTTCAACTTGGGAGCAATTTCAGATGAATACGAAACCGGTTTTATTAAGATATAGCCCAAATAGAGAAGAGATAATTAATTCATTGAGTAGATGCTTGTGCTGGCTACCGTTCTACACGAAAACAGCTGATGAACACTATAAAAGGAAAAAATATACACATTGACTGGGCATAAACTTGTATTATGTTCAGGATTAAATATTTTATATATTATTATTATTCACAACAAAAATAAATAAATTAAGTAGGAAAAAACATGTTATTTCAGTATTTTTTCTTCAAAAATATCCTTCATTTTCTCAAAAATGGTACCTGATTGAATTTTTCGCACTTCAGATTCGTACTCAACACACATGAAAATATCAGTTAGAAAACATTTCTCTAGAGACTGATTGATCTTTTTCTTTTTTTTTTTTTTTTTTTTCACTACTGACATTGATAATATTTAGCTAATTTACTAAATTACCGAAATTAGTACTATTTTATATATATTTTTAATGACCACTATAACAACCTATATCTTTTTTCTGTTCATTTATCCTAATTTTGGTGTTTTGAAGTTTTATTTTTTACAATAAATTGGGCCAATTATCACCAACATTTTATTGATACGCATTAATTTTGACGTTTCGACCATACTAAGGGTAATTTTCAAATCTTGATGAGTCCTCCGTTATATGTTCATCATTAATGTCGTAATTAATATGTTCAGTGAACATTAATTTGTAGAAATGACGTAGGCGAAACCCCCTATAGAGCATGACAATTTAATGTTCACTGAACATATTAATTACGACATTAATGATGAACATATAACGGAGGACTCATCAAGATTTGAAAATGACCCTTAGTATGGTCGAAACGTCAAAATTAATGCGTACCAATAAAATTATGGTGATAATTGGCCTAATTTATTGTAAAAAATAAAACCTATATCTTTTTTCTTTGGCTTAATGTCTTTATTTACATACAACTAGAATCCTTAGGGTTACCAAGCTACTCTAGGAAGATTGGAAAGGTCGAGATTCATTTCGTGGATTCGCCACCAAATAAATTCCTACCTGGATTCGAACTTCTACCTTGTTACTGTTACGCTTTCTGACCTGTTTCCATCTTCTTTTGCAGGGACTCCTTCTGGCTGGAGCTCTTCTGGGCAGTGCGAGGGCGGATCCTTGCTACTTCAACCCGATCTGCTCTTGCAAGCTGCTCAACCCCGACAGCAACAAGACGAGGGACAACGTCCGCGATGTCTCCTGTGTCGGCGTACCCTTCTCCAGACTTCCAGGTAATTCATATGTTTAAGTATAACTCATATAGTTAGACATTAGATAGGCATCCCTCTCCTTAATACATTGAGACTTACGACGTGTAAGCTACATTACGTGCAGAAGAGAGAGAGTTGAATAAAACCGACTTCTGACATAAAAACAGCGCCAAGGGGAGAGGAGCAGGTAGATAAGGACCGATCTGTACCTGGAACCTGGTGAAGGATTATAGTGAAAACTAGTAACGGGCTAAGTAACTGGTTCCTCTTAGGGTGTTACCGGTTATTGTGAAGTAATAGGGTGGAGTTAAGAACCAATGAAAACCATCGTTGCCCCACCCTGAATATTTGTATAGAATACGCCGAGAAGTAAGAAGAGAGGTCTTACGTTGATGTCCGGTCTTGAGGATAGGTCTTCTTATGTTTTCTTCCGGCTTGGGGACTGAAGCCTTGACCGTACATAGACCATGACAGATGGTCTTCTTGGAGAAGTTTTTGGACCTGAACTCGACCAGATGAACCACTTCATATACAGTAGATAACTGTCATTTCCTACAATAAATTTACCAATGTTAAAATATTTCATGGCAATAATTCTCAAACAGTCTATCTGAATCCACTGTCATTGATTAAGTTCATTGAATCATGTATTTAGTTTCTTGTAAATATAATTTGTATATAATCTTTATTAAACATAGAAATAAAATTAAGTTTTTTTTTTTTTTTTTAGTAAAAAGTTATTTTTATTCTGACACCTATTTATATCATGATGTCACAGGTAATTTTGGTAATTGAAAAGCATGATAAACACAAACCAGCATTTGAGAAAAGAAATTCAATTCATTAATCATTTACCATATATATTGTAGATCAAAATTTATTTTGTTATTTTTTTAATTAAAAATTTCCGGGTATATACCATCAATAATTATCCAATGGCATCCCGAACAAAATTTAAACTCCCCAAAGCAATACAATATAATATGATTTATTTAAACAATATATTTATACAATATGATGAAATGGTATAAATGCAAAAATCCAAACTACAAAGCCATGAATCTCCAACATAGAGCAGAGAAGTTAACTTGTCAAAGTAATAAAAAAAAAATCCATTTTTCTGAATTTTGGTTAAACATACCAATTTATATAAGATTAGAATTTGTCGATCACAATCATACAAAAACTGATAAGACACTAAATGTGTTTACCCACTTTAGTTATAATTCATAATGTCGATAATAAGGACGATGTGTAAGTATTACACAAATTAAATATTACGTAACGTAATCTAGGAGAGATTAAAATCTATTACAGCTGTTTTACCAGTTTACGCCAAGCCACAAAGTGGGTTATATTATATTGTATTTAGGCTGTAGCTGGTATTTAATGATTTTTCAAGTGAACGGCTTGACAGATATTAAATATATTCGCTTTATATATTAAAAAATTTAATATATTAATATAATATAATAATATTAATTTAAGATAATATTGAAAAATAAAATATTAAAAAATTTTGCTTGAAAAATATGAATTTTTAAACAAAAAACAAAACGTGTTAATAACATACAGAAGAAAAAAATTAAATCAATATTTAAAAATTCATTGTGTTTAGAAATGTTCTAATTTTTATGTGTTCACCAATGATGCAGCTTTTCGTGTAGACATTGTTAATTTTTCTTTGTTTCTTAACAATTATTTCGTAGAAAAATTTTAGTTTTTTAGTTTTATCTAAATATGGATATAAATAATGATGATATATTTTTTTAATTAATGTAGAAATCCACAATATACTGCATTTTGTAAGAAAAACTATCACATGAACCTGGCTCCATCACATATATTTAATACATAAAGAAAAATTAATAACTATAACTACTAATTAAACACTTAAATAAATCGGAGAAATGTTCTTTTAAAAATATATAGTTCAATAAAAAAATATGATTAAAAACTACTGACTTTGCTGATTAAAGAAAACAGTAAATGATAAATTTAAAAATGGTAACGATAATATGATACAGCTTTCTACCACACGAGGTAAAATGGCAAAATTCAGTTTAGTGAAGAAATAGCAAAACAATTTGGAAATAACTAGATCCTATGTATATAAGGAAGGAATTGATTGTTTTTCCTGTGTCGATTATAATAGATCCATTTAATTAATTCCATTTAACATAATAGACCAAAATATTTGTATACATTGCTTTGCTAGGGCCTACTTTTAAACGCTGACTGGAAAGATAATAAAAGTAATAAAGACAAAATAATGTCCCAACCATGGGATTATCTAAATTATTAAAAAACAAAAGTATCTTTGTTAATAATTGCAATTTAGTAAATTAAAAAAAAAAATATTTCAACACACTTTGCTACTTCGTTCAGTACAAATTGTTTAAATTTTACAAATTAATTATTGTATATTGGCCGTTGTATATTTAAATTTTTTAGGCCGTTCCATTAAGATAAAATATGGGTTTTATTAACTTAGTTATCCTAAGCTAAATGTTCTATTTTTTATTATATTTGTTCTTCAGTTTAACTTTTGGCCATGGTTGAAGGTACCCGTGTGAATTTTTTATTTCAGTAGCTTAAATTTATTTTCAAGTTGAACTAAATTGTATTCCTAAATATGAGTTATTATTGAAGTAAAAACTTCTGTAGATGCGTTTTGCACTTTTTTGTGGAAAATGAATTAGATTGATCTGTCAGATTTCCGAAATTTTAACGCTCGGGTAAACTCGGTTAGAGTCGACTAATTTAAATGTTTATACGGATGGATTAAAATAACTTAGAAACTAAAAATCGGGCCAGCATACTGTAAGCGATTGTTCAGCATTTCATCTTCTCTTTAATAGGATATAATTCAAAATCCTATCTTAACCCGACGCCGTGTCAAGGAGGCGAATAGGAAAAAATATTATCGAGAACAAAATGATAGCGATGTTAGTTGAAGCTGTGGATTAAATTATTTCAGACACTAATAATCGGACCTGTAAGCGAGGGCAATGTTTCAACTTCTTTGTAATGAGCTATTATTTATAATTTATATTGCATATTATTAATCTGGCCTTGTGAATGTTTTCATTTATATCGTGGTGTATAAAGCACACACCTTAGTTTTTTAAATAATTTAATGCGGTTTCCTTCATTTGAAAATGTATTTAGGTCTTTTGTTCTCGATCCACCTTTTTGGGATGGGACTATTTTCGTTTTTATTGGCTTATTATTTTCAATAATCAACCATTCTGAAAAAATTCAACGCCCTCTCAAAATTTGAGGTTTCACATTTCAGAATGCGTAGAATTTGAAAAATGGAATACAAATTTATTTGTCCGTCCGCCGTCTGCGCATTTTCTCCGAAACTACTGGACCGATTTTTTTCAAATTCGGATATAAAATCAGAGGTCACCCGAGGATGATTCTCCTTCATCGACATTACTATCCGCCTTTTACTTTCAAAATGGCGGCCGAAAAACCTGCGTTGCTATAGACTGTAGCGCCTAAACGAATGTAGCGATTTCAATGAAACTTCGCTAAAGTCATTTACTCTTCGCCCTTTAAATTTATCTATATAACATACTTCAACGAAAAGAAGCTGAAAAAAAATGTTACGTGAATGGTAAAATTTAATTCCGAATAACTCAAAAAGTATACACTTTTAGTGTAGGGTTTTTAAAAGTTTACTAAATTTCCTAAAAAACCCCCAAAAAAATTGTTAAAATCGGACAACTAGGAGAAAATTTATGGTCTCCTGTTTGTTTTTTATATGTTCTACTCTAAATGTTATATCCTTTGTTTGATTTTTAAATTTTGAATGTGTTACTGAAGTAATGCTATTTTTTTTTAGCATATTACTAATTGTTAAAAAAAAAGTTTAGTCCAATAATTGGAATCACCTTTTATTTATTTTTCTTAGTAACTACAAGGTAATTTTACTTTAGATGTATAATTGTTTGGAAATAATAAACCATTGTGGAATAATTTGCAGTTTTTTTTTTTATGTCTTGAATAATACAATAATTCTGTAGTGTATAATGTTTTTTCAACTTTACTTGGAGACGTTTTTACGGAAGTTTATTAGGCCAAAGTTATTAAGATAACTTAATCACCAAGATTGAACTCTATTTTAATCGTAGGAATGGAAGTATAATGACTAATTGTTGAAGGAGTAATCAATAGATGGATTACACCGAGGATTAAGGACCCATCTTGTCTGTTTGAGCTTCTGCTGGATTTTGTAGAGGTAATTAGTTGGGAACCTCTACTGGTATCGGGCCTGAGCCTTCTGTATCACCGGGATTGTGTTTGTCAGTTCGATCCAGTACAAACACTTCTGTTCGAACCAAATGGTTTGCCAAACCATCCCAAACCACAACTAGTTCTTGGGCTAATTATTTTCTTTTAACTATGTTATAAAAAGATAATAAAATTAATTTTATATAATATCGTAAGAACCATATTAAAGTAACGAATGTTTCCTTCCCTTTCCAACGCTGCACTTTTGTTACTTCAACATGTTGCCGACGATATCATAAAATTAGAAAATATATAATAAAAACATAGAGCGGAATTAAACGTTATATTTGAGTATTTCATTTCCAACATTTTTTTTTAATTCATTAATATTTACAGCTGTATTATAAAAAAAAAAAATACAACTAGTAAATGTGCGCTCAGAAATATAATAACATGGTATCTCTTGTTGAGAAACTACCCACAAGAAAATCACGAAGCCACCTCCTTTTCAGACACCTCAGAGGGTTATCAAGGATCGAGGAGGAAACAAGATTTGAAACCGGATGATTCGGATGGTTCTGCAGTTTGTTATGGAAGGATAGGAATCTGGATTGGGCCAAATCGGAAACATATGGAACATTAAGGTCTTTATGGATGATTTTATTTGTGGCAAAGTAAAGAGCGTTGAGGATTTTACGAAGGATTTTGGATTGCAAGGATTTTATTCAAGAGGAATTCGATGGTTTAGTGGAGCCCCAAATCTCAATTCCGTAAATACAAATAGGTCTTATTATTGCCATATATATGGGTCGTTTGTAATTAATTGAAAGCTTAGAGCGTTTGTCTAGTAACTGTTGGAGTAGTCGGAAACGTCGAACGGTTTCTTGTCGTTCCAGTCTTGTATGAGAATTCCATGTGAGTCGTTTGACGAAGTGGAGTCCTAGGTAACGGATTTGTTCAACTGGGATAAGTGGGGAATTGTTGAAGTTATGCTGTAGGACAGGAGGTCATAGGTTTGCGACGCATGGTAAAGGTAATTTGACGGGATTTATCGGAATTTATTGTAATTCTCCAGTTTTTAAACCAATCTTCAAGGTTTATGATATGTGATTGGAGAGTTTGGGATGCAGTTGATGGATCATTATTACCAGATAGGATACACGTGTCATCAGCATACGTGGTGATGACAGTGTCAGGATGGGTCGGGATGTTAGCTGTATAAACTGTGTATATAATATAAGATATGGAACTTTATCAAAACTTAAAAACTTAAAAAAAAAAAAAGTTCTCTAAAAAGGTTTTCCACGCGACATGTTGATTATCTACTACAATAAATCTGATAATATATATTTACTAACGTTAAGTTATTTTTTCGACTAGTGTCATGATAAATTTTTCTCAAAACTCAGATTTTTTTCAAAAGATCTTTTTTTCACCAGAATCATTAGTATTGTTTGCTGTTATACACAGTTGTAAAATAAAACAAAATAAAAAGTGATGTTAACGAATAAATTTTACAGATTTGATGGGCGGAAAAACATGATAATTAATTGTTTTAAATAAGTTTATAAAGTCTTTTTCTCTTTGACTTCTCTGTACAAGAAAAAAAAACATCTATGGTTGGTTAGTGAAAGTTGTGTGATGCGCTAACCGCCATATTTTTACTTGTTCTTTATGTGGTGCGATGTTGATACATTTCATCTTGTTATTTTTTTTTCTGACCTACATATATAGCAGTATAAATGTTACTTCCAAAGCTATTCCTGTTTCCATCATAAGATTATAACCAAAGGAGAAATAGACCCCCACCAACAGTTGATCCTAACAGTCTTGAATAGACAGAGACAAATAGGAGGGAATGAAAAATGCTCTGATCGGGGATTTGCCTGGAGTAGGGGATATATCCCGCGGGAGATCCTCATCCCAACTTCCAGCGACCGTGACTTCCAGTCTCAGGTGGCCTCCTCTTCTACCTTCCATCGCTAATACCATCCGGATAAAATAGTCATTGGCTCCTCTATTTATTTATTTATTCTTTGTATATGTATATATTGTAAGGCTTCTATCACAATTTTGTTTATTTTTAATATTATCTTTGATACTGTATATGTCATAATAATAATAATTTAGAATAGGAAGTATAAAACAAGATTGAAAAGATATAAGATACATTCAATTCCTATATATCGCAGATGGTGGTGTATGAATTAAAATATATATTTCAGGAATTAAAAATAAATAAAATATTCATTACACAGTCTTTAAAGCTGACATCCCAACCCATCCAAACACCGTTATTACAATCTATGCCGATGATACATGTGTCTTATCAGTTCATGACGACCCAACAATTGCATCCCAAACTCTTTAACCCCATATCACAAACATTGGAGAATGGTGTCAAAACTGGAGAATTAAAATAAATTCCAATAAATCCCATCAAATTACCTTTACTCTTCGTCGTAAACCTATGACTTTCTGTCCTACAGCATCCTTTAATAATAATCCACTTATCCCTCTTAAATGAACCCGATACCTAGGACTCCACCTGGACAAACGTCTAACTTGGAATCCTCATATCAGCCTTAAACGACAAGAAACCGCTTGACGTTTCCGACTACTTCAGCACTTACTAGACAAACGCTCTAACCATTCAATTAATTACAAAAGACTAATATACATGACTATACTATGGCCTATTTGGACTTGGAGTTGAGCTATGGGCCTCCACTAAACCATCAAATTACCCTCGTATCGAATCCTTACAATCCAAAATCCTTCGTAAAATCCTCAATGCTCCTTACTTTATCACAAATAAAATAATCCATAATGACCTTAATGTTCCATATGTTTCCAATTTGGCCCAATCCAGATACCTATCCTTCCATTATAAACTTCATAACCATCCGAATCCTCTCGATTCTAAACTTGCTTCCTCTTCGATTCCTGAAACCCTCCGAGTCGTCTGAAAAGAAGATGGCCTCGTGATCTCCTTATGTAGACACATTATTAGAGTGCTACCAGTGGGTAATTTCTCAACAAGCGTTTTCAAGTGATTATATTCTTGTGTACACATTTACTTGATGTATTTATATTGTAATACAGTTGTAAATATCTTGAATAAATAGTTTTTTAAAAAACGTTCCCGAAATCGGTAAAGATAGATACCCGAAAATACTATCATATGGGAAATCAGAAGGCAAGAGAAGGAGATGAAGTCCCAGACTTATGTGGATTGATGATGTGGAAGGCGATTTGCAGAAGATGGAAATCGGACAATGTAGAATGGATTGGAGAGGCGTTGGTGTGGATAGAGGTGTGCGTTTCTGCTACTTTTTAAAAACGTAAATGAACTGTTCGTTGAACAAAAATAACATTTTTTAAGAACTGTTAAAAAAAAAAGTCATAGAACAACGCAACTATTCTTGGAGAAATACCTATTCGTTTAATAACAAGTCTGGAAATGAATGAAACGTTTTATGTATGAATAGTTAGTGTTGCCCAAATGCGAGACCGAGACGAGTCTTGGTCTTGCAAACTCATAGCCCTGGAGTCAGGGCCCAAAAATCGTCCTGATCGCAGGCGAAGGTTTGATTGTAAATTACGAAATTACGTATGTTATTCTTGTTAAAGTGAAAACATAATTTATTATAAAATCGATTATTTTTTGAACCTCTGTGTGTTAACTATTATAACCTCTGGGTGTGTTATGAGAGATTGAGTTTGACCTTATGTGGATTGCTGTACAATGTGGTACTTACTGCCTTTGTTGATTATAATGTAATGTGTTTTGGTAATTAAAAGTGTAAAAATTATCAGTGAATGTTTTATTAAGAAATACCTAAACAATTCTGAGTAAAAAAAACCTTGTCTGCCGTTCCAGAGCCGCTGATTTCAAAAATGGAGGCTGATTTAAAATATATTAGGCCAATAATTTGAGGATCGAAACGGAAAATCCATTGCAAAAAATGTGAGAAAAGTTTTTTAATTTTTTTAACTTGTATATATGGGTTTAGACATGTAAAAAACAAAATTGCTAACGCGGGCCACTAAGGGAAAACTTTTTATAGCCAAAAAAGTCAGAATTTTTCGATAATTTTTTGGTTTTTCACCTATAACTCCTAAACAATGTATCAAAACGAAAAATTTATTCTTTAACAAATTAAAGAACGTTAAAAATTGCGTCAAACGATTACATAAACATTACAATTTGGTGAATATTAAAACATTAAAAGCTGAATTTTTCCAAATTTGTTAAAAACTGAGAAAAATTACTATAAATGGTCCTGTAACTTGGAAATGAGTTCCCTAAGTGGAAGAACCCATAGAATAAAAGTTGTAGAGCATCAAATTTTACGTTAACTGAGAACCAACTAATTTAATGTAGGTCACTGGCTGCGAAAAAAATCGGTAATCTATCGATGGTTAGAGATTGGTAATGAAGGTAAACCAGATTTTGAATATTTCAACAGTATGTGTGTCTTTTCTACTGAGTTGGTTTTGTTTAAAGTCTGTTGCATGCAGTATAAGCTTCTTTTCCACCTCTCAACAGCAAAAGATTTTGGTAAACGATGTGCCGAAAGATTCCGAATTTTATAAAGGACTAACGAATCCCGATTCAAGATATATAATTGGCCTAAAATAAAAATGTCAGTACTCAATGGACGAAAAATTTGATGCTTTACAACTTTGATTCAATGGGTTTTTCCTCTTAGGGAACTCATTTCGAAGTTACAGGGCCATTTATAGTAATTTGTCTCAGTTTTTGACAAATTTGTTAAAGTTCAGCGTTGGTTGACCGTGGTTTTATACCTTACCGCGTAACCAAATTATAAAATTTAACGTCCTTTAATTTATTAAAGATACATTTTTCGCTTTGATGCATTGCTTAGGAGTTATAGATGAAAAACCCAAAAAATATCGAAAAAAGCTGACTTTTTTGGCTGTAAAAAGTTTTCCTTTGGTGGCCCGCGTTAGCAATTTTGTTATTTACATGTCTTAACCCATATATACAAGTTAAAAAATAAAAACTTTTCTCACATTTTTCGCAATGGATTTCCCGTTTCGATCCTCAAATTACTGGCCCAATATTCTTTAAATCAGAAGCCATTTTTGAAAGCAGCGGCTCCGGAACGGCAGACAAGATTTTTTTTTACTCAGAATAACATACAATTTCGTAATTTACAATCAAACCTTCGCCTGCGATCAGGTCGATTTTTGGGCCCTGGCTCCAGGGCTATCAGTCTTTGTCTAGGTCTTGGTCTTGCGCAAGATTCTCGTAACAGACTTGCAGTTGCGTATTAGCTTATAACTAGAGAGGTATTACTGTAATTTTTTAGATGTGAGAAACCTAACTAAGCCTCAATGAAAAATAAGATGAGTTAAATGAAAAAGTATATCGGTTACACCAATTCTTTACATATAGTAACTAATATTGTCAAGTATTTTATTTAAATATTCAATTCCTCAATTATTATTTAAAAAACCCATTTTTTATACCAGTCTTGGTCTTGGTCTTGTAACAGATAGGCGGCGTTGGTCTTGGTATTGCAAAGTACAAGACCAAGACCGATTTCGAGCAACACTACTAGTAGTCCTACAATCCATAATCATTTATACTTTAAATATTCAGATATACTTTCAAACGTCTGTCAAGCCTTTCGGTTGACAGAATGACTAACTCCAATTTTAACATTCTTCATTATTAATTTTCGTGATGTTTCTAGTGGCTAAATTCATATCTTTATTTACAGTTCTATATTAACACTGCAATCACCTACTCTGGAATCAACTTACTCACTGTCTGCATAGATAACTTTTTCAACTAAAAATATCACTAAAATGGCATTACTCAAAAATTTTGAAATTAGAATTAGTCATTCTGTGGTTTATAAAAGCAAAGAAAGTTGTGTGGTTTATAACAGCACACGTCGTTAACGTATAACAGCAACGTTTCAAACGTCGTCCTTGACCATGGATCTGTTTTTGGTATTTATTATGGAGTTATCGGTTTATTTGTTGTACGCATTATGTAGATTCGTTGTTACTTTAAGTATATACAGTTTTAACAAAAAGAGATAGATCTTTTTTAGTTTATCCACACTATCAATATTTAGTTTATAAAATATAAATTTAGTTTAAAGGAATTTAAACCCTGACTATGATAAACAATACAAGCCAACTAATTTTGAGTTTATTTATTTTTAAGATTAATTTTTGTTAGTACTTTCATACTATCCTTGAGTTTCGTAGGTGTGGATATGCCACGCTTTATCATGACTGATTTTTTATTAAGAAATATTACATTTTTTCACATTCAAGGACATTAGTAATAGTAATATAGTAGTTCATTCACTCTTCTATGTACAATAAATAAAAATAAATTAAACAGCTAAATAATAATAATAAAAGTAAATGTATATAAACAAAAATAAACTACATGAGAAGAACTAAAAAGAAAGAAATAATTTTAAAAGCATTATTATTAAAATAATTGATCATTTCTTCACTGACAAATCTTACCACAGCTTCAAGTTGTTTTAATTTCCTTCATTAATTTTTCCAAGTGAGATAAGTCTTGACACAATTGTCTTAAGATGAATGGATGCAGTTTGGCACCGATATCAAACAATGATAAATTATTATTCTGTTTTAAGTTACTTAAATTTATTACTTTGCTACCTGTGCTAGGCTGTGATCGGGTAAAATTTCCAATGTGCAGTTTTCGACTGACCTGTACGTTTCAGAGCAATTCTGAGTCCGAAAAACACATTTTTCATTGGTCTGTCTGTGCCAAGATTATTTCAGGAACTAGTACACCGTTTTTGTTGCTTCTTTTTTTATTCTGTAGGGTTTTGACTTCTGATGCCTGTGGCACAAATTGGGTGCTCTCTGAACAATAGCGGCTGCGCAATAAGTGAAAAACATATTTTTCTATATATTGTAGCGCAAAAAAAGGCTATACAAATTTTGATGAAACTTTTCTATAATTT